GGGGGCAGAGCAGGAGCCCAGCGCCCTTGAGGCAGATGATGACGGACGGAGACATGGGTTCCTTATCCTGAGCCGGGAAGACTCCACCATGGTGAGGGGTGGGTGTCCGGCAGCCTGGGGCGGGGTCCCGCTGTGGGGTGTGCCTTACCCCCCTGTTGCTCGCAGATCCTGCAGACAGGGCAAGAGATCATGGAGCTGGACACCAGTGGCTTTGCCACACAGGGCCCCACGGTCTTCGCTGGCAACATCGGGGACGGTCGCTACATTGTGCAGGTGTCGCCGCTTGGCATCCGCTTGTTGGAAGGAGGTAGGTGCGGCGGGCGGCGGAGCGGGTGTGGGAGCCCGTGCGGCGCTGACCATTCCTGCCCGCAGTGAGCCAGCTGCACTTCATCCCTGTGGACCTGGGCTCGCCCATCGTGCAGTGCGCCGTGGCCGACCCCTACGTGGTCATCATGAGTGCTGAGGGCCACGTCACCATGTTCCTGCTCAAGAGTGACTCGTATGGGGGCCGTCACCACCGCCTGGCGCTGCACAAGCCACCCCTGCACCACGTAAGCTCCCGGCCGTGCCCGCAGCCTGCAGGCCCCCCTCTTCTGCCGTGCTGAGCCCCTGCCCTGTCCCCGCAGCAGTCCAAGGTGATCACCCTGTGCGTGTACCGAGACGTCAGCGGCATGTTCACTACCGAGAGCCGCCTGGGTGGGGCCCGCGATGACCTGGGAGGCCGCAGTGGCTCCGAGGCCGAGGGGCAGGGCTCGGAAACCAGGTATGTGGGGGCAGCTGGGGCCTGGGCTGGGGTCAGGGACCCTGTGGTGGGCCACATGTGACTCGTGTGCCTGCCCGTCTCTAGCCCCACCGTGGACGACGAGGAGGAGATGCTGTACGGGGACTCGGGCTCCCTCTTCAGCCCCAGCAAGGAGGAGGCCCGCAGGAGCAGCCAGCCCCCTGCGGACCGGGACCCCACCCCGTTCCGCGTCGAGCCCACCCACTGGTGCCTGCTGGTGCGGGAGAACGGAACCATGGAGGTGCGTGAGGCCCTGTGCCACTGCGGGCCCCTGCCCCCCGCTTCCCGTGGCTTCTTGGGGCTTCCCGTGGCTGCTGACCCCGCTCCCCACGCAGATCTACCAGCTGCCTGACTGGAGGCTGGTGTTCCTGGTGAAGAACTTCCCCGTGGGGCAGCGGGTCCTGGTGGACAGCTCCTTCGGTCAGCCCACAACGCAGGGCGAGGCCCGAAAGGAGGAGGCCACGCGCCAGGGGGAGCTGCCGCTCGTCAAGGAGGTGCTGCTGGTGGCGCTGGGGAGTCGTCAGAGCAGGCCCTACCTGCTGGTGAGTGCGGGCTGCGTGCCCCATGGCGGCCCGGCCGGGTGCCCCCGTTCCCCTGCTGACCCTGTGCTGCCCCCAGGTGCACGTGGACCAGGAGCTGCTCATCTACGAGGCCTTCCCCCACGACTCCCAGCTTGGCCAGGGAAACCTCAAAGTCCGTTTCAAGAAGGTGCGGTGAGCGGGGCGTGGGGTGGATGTGGAACGGGGTTGGGGGACACAACCCGGCCCTCATGGCGCTCCACCCCTCCAGGTCCCTCACAACATCAACTTCCGGGAGAAGAAGCCAAAGCCGTCCAAGAAGAAAGCGGAGGGCGGCGGCGCCGAGGAGGGGGCTGGGGCCCGTGGCCGTGTGGCCCGGTTCCGGTACTTCGAGGACATCTATGGCTACTCAGGGGTAGGCGGGCGGCTCTGGGGGGCGCACGGGGAGGGCAGATTGGGCAGCCCCTCACAGCGCCTGCCCTCAGGTCTTCATCTGTGGCCCCTCGCCTCACTGGCTCCTGGTGACGGGCCGGGGGGCCCTGCGGCTGCACCCCATGGGCATCGATGGTCCCATTGACTCCTTTGCCCCCTTCCACAACGTCAACTGCCCCCGAGGCTTCCTGTACTTCAACAGACAGGTAGGGAGACCCCAGGGCTCGTGCTGCCCCATGTTGCCCTGCCTGGGTCAGGAGGAGGTGCCGGGGACCCTGAGGGGCATCCAGCAGGTGGACAAGGCCAAGGTCGAAGAGGTGAGACGTGGAAAGGTTGGGGGACACGGCGGGCAGGAGTGGCGGCTGCAGCCCACGAGGCACCTGTTTGCGGGGCCAGCGCTGGTCACCGCTGTGCCCTTCGGGAGCTGGGACTCTGGCGAGGTGCTCACCCTCTCTGGGCCCCGTTTCCTCATCTGTGAGGCCGGTCTGAGGACCCGTGATGAGAACGGGGCAGGTGGTCTGGAAGTGCACTTAGGGCACTGGCTGGGTCGGGGCAGTAGGGGTCCCCTCGTCCGTCTGTACCGACTCCAGCGTGGCTGGTGTGTGGGTAACCTTTGCTGTGCGGCCTGCGGCTTCCTCTGGGTCCCAACCATGTCTGTGGCCAGGGTCCCGGCCCGGCGTGAGCCCGGGAGGAAGGATGGGGGGCCGTGAAGCACGGGCCAGCAAGTCTCTGTCCCGTGCACGCCCCATTCTGGCAGAGCTGAGGGCTGGCGGTGTGGCGCCCTCGGGAGCCCAAGTTTGCCTGCCCTGCCCTTGGCGGGTGCCGGGCCTCAGCAGCCCCTCCCCCCACCCGCCAGGGCGAGCTGAGGATCAGCGTCCTGCCCGCTTACTTGTCCTACGACGCCCCGTGGCCGGTCAGGAAGATCCCACTGCGCTGCACAGCCCACTACGTGGCTTACCATGTGGAGTCCAAGGTCTGACCCCATTCTCTTCGGGCCGGGGCCGCTCTGGGCACGGCTCCCCGGGCGCCCGTGACTCGCTCTGCCCTCTCAGGTCTATGCTGTCGCCACCAGCACCAACATGCCGTGCACCCGCATTCCGCGCATGACCGGCGAGGAGAAGGAGTTCGAGGCCATCGAGAGAGGTGCGTGATGCCCGGGGAGGGGCGGGCTGGCTGGGCTGCCCTCCCTGACCAGCACCCTGTGTCCTTGCAGACGACCGGTACGTCCACCCCCAGCAGGAGGCCTTCTCCATCCAGCTCATCTCCCCGGTCAGCTGGGAGGCCATCCCCAATGCCAGGTGGGGCTGCCGGGCCGGGCAGGGCTGGCCGGGTTGGGCCTGGCGGCCAGCGGGCGGCTTCCTCTCACCCTGCGTCTCACAGGATCGAGCTGGAGGAGTGGGAGCACGTGACCTGCATGAAGACGGTGTCGCTGCGCAGTGAGGAGACCGTGTCGGGCCTCAAGGGCTACGTGGCTGCTGGGACCTGCCTCACGCAAGGGGAGGAGGTCACGTGTCGAGGGCGGGTAGGGCCCGCCGTGGGGGTGGGCGGAGCCCGGCAGCCGTGGGGGTGGGCGGAGCCCGGCAGCCGTGGGGGTGGGCGGAGCCCGGCAGCC